GTTTGTTGTCCTCTTCTCCCTCTCTGCCTACGGTTTACCGGGCAGTTCTATTTGACGATATATATATATACACCCCAGGCCTGAAAGTCCGTCCTGTCCAGATTTGAACAGGTAATTGAATTGGTTGGGCGTAAAGAATTAGTCTTTGGAAAAAAAAAAAGAAAAAGAAATATACATCCCCATATTTTTCATTTTTCGTCTTTTGTGATCGAAGTGTAGCGGCGCGAGCCCCTTTGATGAACGGTTCGCTGCGCGGATGTGCCCACGCTGCCTGGGCCGTGGTCCCACTTGCAAAGAGGATCCGATCGAATGCCTGAATCTGGACGTAATTGTGGAGAGGTGCAGGAAATCGAGATTGAACTGCTTTTCTGCACCTCTGCATAAAACACATCCAGATTCAGGAGCTTGATCCTATTCTTTTTGCTAGTGGGACCTCGGCCCTGATTGGAGGAGCACTGTACGAAAAGGTGAATTATAAATGCCGAAGCGAATCAAGTCCTCTCGTACTATCGCTCACACTCTGGCCTCGTTGATGTTTAGCGGGGTTTTAGAGAAAACCTCGCCGTCGGCGGGTTTGGTGGTCATCCTCGCCATCGCCGAATTGAACGTCGTCTTCCCTTCAACTCTCCGGACTTCGTCGTAGCAAACTACCAGCTGAATCTTACGATGGCCGTCACAATCTCTGCGATCAAGGCCCGTCAGATCTTCGACAGCCGTGGCAATCCCACGGTGGAGGTGGACGTTACTACCAGTGATGGCGCGCAGTACCGCGCGGCTGTCCCGAGCGGTGCGTCCACCGGCATTTACGAGGCTCTGGAGCTCCGCGATGGCGGCAAGGATTTCATGGGCAAGGGGGTGCTGAAGGCTGTGAGCAATGTCAACGACATCATTGCCCCTGCTTTGATCGGTAGGGATGTGACGAATCAGACGGCCATCGATCAATTCATGGTTGAGCATTTGGACGGAACGCAGAACGAATGGGGATGGTGCAAGCAGAAGCTCGGCGCGAATGCGATCCTCGCGGTGTCGCTGGCGGTCTGCAAGGCTGGCGCCGGCGCGAAGAAGATCCCCCTTTATCAGCACATAGCGAATTTGGCGGGAAACTCGAAGCTGGTCCTTCCTGTCCCTTCGTTCAACATCATCAACGGCGGATCGCATGCGGGTAATAAGCTGGCGATGCAGGAGTTTATGATCCTGCCGACGGGCGCGTCTTCGTTCCAGGAGGCGATGAAGATCGGCAGCGAAGTGTACCACCATCTGAAGTCCATCATCAAGAAGAAGTACGGCCAGGATGCGACGAACGTGGGCGATGAGGGCGGGTTTGCGCCCAACATCCAGGACAACAAGGAGGGGTTGGAGCTCATCAAGGCGGCCATCGAGAAGGCAGGGTACACAGGTAAGGTGACAATAGGCATGGACGTCGCGGCGTCGGAATTCTATGACGACAAGACGAAGATGTACGATCTGGACTTCAAGACGGAGCAGAATGACGGCAGCAAGAGGATCACAGGCGATCAGCTAATTGAGCTGTACCAGTCGTTCTGCAGCGAGTACCCTCTTGTGTCGATCGAGGACCCCTTCGACCAGGACGATTGGGAGCACTACGCGAAGCTCACGGCTGCGATTGGCGAGAAGGTGCAGATCGTCGGCGACGATTTGCTCGTCACCAACCCTAAGAGGGTGGCCAAGGCTATCGAGGAGAAGTCTGCGAACGCTCTCCTCCTGAAGGTGAACCAGATTGGATCCGTCACGGAGAGCATCGAGGCCGTGAGGATGTCGAAGAAGGCAGGGTGGGGGGTGATGACCAGCCACAGGAGTGGAGAGACCGAGGACACGTTCATCGCCGATCTCGCCGTTGGATTGGCCACCGGACAAATCAAGACAGGAGCGCCGTGCAGATCGGAGCGCCTGGCGAAGTACAACCAGTTGCTTCGTATCGAGGAGGAGCTCGGCGATGCCGCTGTCTACGCTGGCGTCAATTTCCGTGCGCCGGTCGAGCCCTATTAAGCGTCGTTTGTGTTTTTTTGTGTTTTTGTGTTTTTGTGTTTTGTGCAGCGTGTTCCTTATTGTGGTGTTCCTTGGTTCGCTCGGGATCCCTCGGAAGATGTCGTCGTCTTCCACGATGTGTGGGGGAGATAGGTTTTCTGGCTATAGGATGTTGGCTTCCGTCCTCTCTTCCTTAGCTTGTAATCTCGTAGGTGTGATTAGGGATTGACTTCACTGGCGCCGACAATTTCCGTGCGCCGGTCGAGCCCTAAATGGCGGCGTTTGTGTTTTTTTGTGTTTTTGTGTTTTGTGCAGCGTGTTCCTTACTGTGGTGTTCCTTGGTTCGCTCGGGGTCCCTTGCACTATGTGTTGGGGGGAGATAGGTTTTGTAGCTATAGGATGTTGGCTTACGTCCTCTCTTCCTTAGCTTCTAATCTCGTAGGTGTGATTAGGGATTGATGTTACTGCCACTGGCAATCGATTGTATTGTTTCAGTTGGTTGTCCATCACGGCGCCGGATTATTAAGTTTGAGAGTAGAGAGAGGGTTCGATGATGGAGTGCGGTTCGATAATAGATGGTAGGCGCTCCTGGTCCTCCTGTGTGTCCAGGTTCTACTGGTTGTAGGTGTTAGGAAGAGGATGAGTTGGTCTTGCGCGGCAGTGTGATTGACGTCGTGGTTTAGGATTTAGTATATGTTCTTGCGGTCGGTCTATATTGATGCCAGCGGCAAGTTTGAGAGAATGGGAGAGTAGAAACTAAATGTACGGGTGGGTGATGGCGCACTCGGTGTTTCTTGGTTACATGGGAAATGAGGTCTTTGATTTAAGAGGTATATTATGCTGAATCGGTCATTTGCCGCTTCTTTTCTCTCGATGTTTCCTGCTGTGCGGAAGTAATGAAAACTTGCATTGACAATGATATGCTTATTACAAATTTGCATTGACAGTCCGAAAAAACAAAACAAAACAAAAAAAAAGATGCAGTAAAACATTATAGACCCCCATACCTACCTGTCTGAGGGGGCATCATTTTCTCAGTTCGAGGGACGCAGCGAGTCGACTTCTTGCTTCCATCATACAGGATGCTCGTGCTATGGTGTGTCAGAATTGACGACGAACACTTGGAATGTAGTGCACGCACGAGATCAACCATAGCTGGCGATTCCTCCTGAAAAGAGGGGGGAACAAAATAACCAGAATAGCAGACACACGCACACGCACACGCACGCACACACACACACACACACACACACACACACACACACACACACACAGGGAGAGAGAGAGGGAAAGAGAGAGAGAGAGAGAGAGAGAGAGAGAGAGAGAGAGAGAGAGAGAGAGAGAGAGAGAGTTGGGAAAGGGATCCAAGAAAAGGGAGAGCCAAAAAGCCAAATCCATCGTGCATCAGAAGACGAAGGAAATGAGCTCCGGAGCAAATTAACACAGAACAAAAGGGGAAACAACGCGGGAGTCACAAAAACAGTTTGAAAATACTGTTGGGGCAAAAAACAGTTTCAAATTGTACTTCATGCAATGTATACAAGCTAGCTTTCAGGTCAGGTGGGGTTGCGTGGGGGTGTGTTGTGCTCGGGGGGAATTGCGAAAGTGTAATTTAAACTGTTTTTGTGACCATACTGAAGTTACATCTCCCCCAAAAAAATCCATTTCAAACTGTTTTTGTGACTGTACGTTAAATCCCACCCCCAAAAAAATCCATTTCAAAACTGTTTTTGTGACTGTACACTTCCCCCAAAAATCCATTAACGAAAGAAATCCGATAAAAACCTTATGTCATAGCTGTGCCTTGCGGAAAATGACATTTTTGACATTTATAAAAGGATTAATAGCAAAAATATTGTTTTTTTGAAGTTTGGCAGCAAAAATGTCGTCCGTTCGAAGTTTCCTTTGCAAAAATAGAGGTTTCGTTGGAGCAGCTTTGTGGGGTTCCCATCATAGTTTGCCAGCAAAAATAAAAATAAAGCGTTTTGCCAAGTTTCCTAGGCTACTAGCCGGGCCGCCCGGGTCCCGGGTGGCCAGCCCGTGCAAGGAACAGGGAAGGTCCCAGCAMAAAAAAAAAAAAAAAAAAAAAAAACGAACTCCAAAAAATCCGAGAAAACACTATGTTATGCAGAAAAATAAACTGAAGAACTTTTGCCCCAGGGTCACGCCGAAATTCTTCACCAAATTTAGAATAAAAAATAAATTCTAAAAATAAAGTTTTTATCTTAGTTATTATTTTTTTTTTGGCCTGGCCGGGCAAGTGACCCCGGGCCACTCTGGTAGCCTAGCAAGTTTCACAGCAAAGGACTCCTAGGCCTCTGGCCTCAGGGACTCAGGGACTCAGCGTTCTGGCCTCAGGCACTCAGCGTTCTTTTTGTTTTTTTCGGGGGCATGGGTGACGCATCTGGGCTTGCACACGGCCGAGATGCCTCGGCCACGGCCGCAAAAAAAAAAAAAACAAAAAAACAAAAACAAAACAAAACAAGAAACGTGGCCGACGCTTATCGGGATGCCTCGGCCACGCCCGCGGGAAAAAAAAAAAAGAAAAAAAAGAAGAGGAAAGCTGAGTGCGTGAGGCCGGAACGCTGAGTCCCTGAGGCCAGGGGCCTAGGCGTCCTTTGCTGTGAAACTTGGCAAAACGCGGTATTTTTATTTTTGCCGGCAAACTATGATGGGAACCCCACAAAGCTTATGTCAAGGATATATTAGAGAGCTGGGATCGAGTATTGCTCGTAAGCTAAACTGGCTGATGCTGCCAGGATAACTCCGGGTTGAATTGTGAGGTCCCGGGCCTCGCCCCATTGCTTGTTATAAATTAAATTCCCAGCCTTTCCAAAAAAAAAAAAAAAAAAAAAAAAAAAAAAAAGAAAAAAAAAAAAAAAGAAAAAAGAAAAAAGAAAACGCATCGCGTTTTGGCCTCTAAAAAGGGGCCTGCGGCCTATGTATGGCGTGTACGGGTGGTTTAAACCACCAGTACCTCGCTCAGCTATTGAATCCGAGCCTCCCAGCACGCTGCGCGCCAAGTCCTGCCCAACCGCCGTCGCAATTTTCAGTTTCGTTTTGCCTGCGGCCTCCAGCCAATGCGGTCCAGCAGGCCGAAGCCCAAATGGCGCGGAGCGTATACGGGAAGCGCCGCGGCTGATAGCTGGGCCAGGTACTGGTTGTTTAAGACATTTGTAAACGTAGTACATGCATATATCGTGTTCACAGACTGTTCTCAGCCGAAGCCGGGAAATGGCCCCGGTATCTCAAATGATCTCAAATGTTCTCAATGATCCGTACAATTCGAAATGGGACGCTGGGCCCGGTTCCCAGCACGTGCTGCTCCCCACGAATAGACTGGAGCATTTGTTTAAAAAAAGAAAAAAAAGCAAAAAAAAGGCATCATGGCTATTCATAGCAAATTTGTCCTCCAAGAAAATAACAATTAAAAAAAAAAAAGGCTTACCACTTTTTCTGAGTCCAAGTTGACCTTCAGCAACACCTCGTTTGTCGGAATTCGGCCGCACGCCAATGTGTTGCATGCGGCGAGCAATTCGCCAGCATGAACCTTCCTTGTTGTTATCAGACCTCTTCCTTTCCCTAATCAGTCACATCACAATCATCATCACAAAGAGTGTCATGTCCCGACAGAGGCAAACAAGGGAGTTAGGTGAAGGGGTAATTTTGTTTTCTCAGATAAATCATAAAGGGGTTTAAGGGGGTCATTTGGACAAGGGTCAGAGAAAAAAGGGAGCCCTTCTCTTGTCCCGTTGGCTACCTTCTTTCCCCGAATACAACGTACGGTCATTGTAGCTGTATCTAGACTTAAAGATGCGCCAAATACAGCTATAATAACTGTACATTGTATTCCCGGGGAAGACAGTAGCGCATGCGGTTGCATGCCTAAGTTGGATCTGAATGAGGCTGGCTGAATTCTGCTCCTGTTGGGCCACTCCATTGGTGAGGACTAAATGGTGGTTACAGCGGTTGTGGCTGAGAATGCCATTGCATGCCTAAGTTGCGTCTGTTGGATGAGGGTTCAATTCCCCCCCCTCCCCCTTCCCCCCCCTCCTTGGGCCAAAGTCCTTGGTAAGGACTATGGTGGTCACATTCAGTTTTTCTTTCTATTTTTTTATTCCCTTTAAGAAGTCCAGGTTGTTGTAGGGGCTGGATTTTGTAGGAGTTCTCGAGATGGAGCAAGGGCCTCGTTCTACACCACTAGAGAACCCTCGAGTGTGCCCTAATTGCAAAAGAGAGATTAACTTTTGTTCTTGGTTGAACTTCCATCTGCAGTAGAGACGGAAAAAAAAAAAAAAAAAAGGAAATACTTGAAAGCGCTGCAATTGGTATCAGTTCTTGGCTGAGAATGCCTAAGTTGCATCTGTTGGATGAGGGTTCAATGGCGGGCCTGGCCGGGCGGAGCCTGCGAGTTTCGCTTGTGGCGACAAAAACTTTCTGCAAGGCTGGGGCCATGTACTAGGGGGTTAAACCGCTGCTAAACTTGCACATTTCGAAACTCAGACCAGGACTTTGGCGCCACTTTGTCTTTTCTTGCCTATTTCAAACTAAAAGGGTGCCGCAACCACAGTTTTCCCATGCCTAAATTATCCTTTAGGTCTTTAATCCTTGGACAATCTAAATAGCTGATCTGGGGGTGAAATTAATGTAACAGTTTGCCCTTGGACAATATGAATCGCTGATCTGAGGGTGAAATTAATGCACCAGTTTGCAATTGACTCTCCACTGGCCTCAGAAACAAAGACCATGTGCTACTACTTTGCTTTCTAGTATTTTAGTGATATCGGGATGCTGGGACCGGTTCCCAGCACGTGTTGCTCCCCACGAATAGATTGGAGCAATTGTTCCCCCCCCCTCCAAAAAAAAAAAAAAAAAAAAAAAAAGTGATATCGTTGCTAGTGTTTGTCACTGCTGTCTGGTCCAAGTTGCCCTCGATAGTGGTAGGATGATGGTCCTGAGTGCTGGTCACACTGAGGTGGTTGGATAGTATGGATAGAGGGTGCGCTGGGAGTTTTGACATGGGGAAGGGTAGGGAAGGTGGCCTATCCTGTCAGGACAACCATAGGCTGCCTGTGCCCTACCTATAACCGTGGGTCTAGACCTTGAGCTCTACAACACACTGGGCTTTCAAAAAAAAAAAAAAAAAAAAAAAAAAAAAAGCCTTTTTATACTCCC